ACAGGGACCAACACAAGGAATAGTTTGGAGTAGATGGCCTGACCGCTTAACACAATGAATCAAGTCCTTCCCAATCCATCTCATGCAGGCCTAGTCACGGGTGGGTGATTAATGAATAGTTTTCATGCTAATGTCTCGCAGACCAAAGCTGCACCCATCTCTGTGGAAACTCTGAGTCAGCGGATTGATAGGAGGCTCCTCTCCACAGTGCTCTGGACGATACCGTGCAAAGGCTGGAGCCAAGGGCCCGGCTCTGCAAGTGCTTCCAAACGTCCTGAAGCATCCTGGCGTGTCCTCACTTAGCCTTGTCACTTCTGCTTAAGTTTTTCATGGAGCGTACACACAACCACGGAGCGTAAGGTGCCCTGGCCCTCTGGCGGCCCCTCCGCAGGATGAATCAGAGTCATGGGTTCCCCCGGGTCCAGGCTTCCTGGTGGGTTTATTTTTGCACAGCATTCCTCTGGGCCCAGGTTCTTCTCCCTGGGGGCTGGGCCTCTTCAGCTCTTAGTCAGAATAGCCCTTGGGATTATCTTGTGTAGAATGACGCGGTGACATGGATGTTCTGTTGGCTTTCTTGAGGGAGTGAAAGACATGCTCACCAAGGAAACAATCTCTTGCTGTTTAGACCTTTAGCCTTTGAGAGAGGGAGAACTGGAGTAGCTTTCAGGCATGCCTGCAACTCCATCCCCATGTTGCTGCTCTTTCTACAGCTTCGTGTTGTCATCCTCCCCCTCCTCCTCTTCCTCCCCCTCCTCCCCCTCCTCCCCCTCCTCCCCCTCCTCCCCCTCTCCCTCCTCCCCCCTCCTCCTCCTCTCCCTCCTCCTTCTCCCCCCCTCCTCCTCCCCCTCCTCCTCCCCCTTCCTCCTCCTCTACCCCTCCTCCCCCTCTTCCCCCTCTCCCTCCTCCCCCCTCCTCCTCCTCCTCCCCCTCCTCCCCCTCCTCCTCCTCCCCCTCCTCCCCCTCCTCCCCCTCTCCCTCCTCCCCCCTCCTCCTCCTCCTCCTCCTCCCCCTCCTCCCCCCCTCCTCCCCCTCCTCCTCCCCCCTCCTCCTCCTCCCCCTCCTCCTCCCCCCCTCCTCCTTCTCCCCCCCTCCTCCTCCCCCTCCTCCTCCCCCCTCCTCCTCCTCCTCCCCCTCCTCCTCCTTCTCTTCCTCCCCCTCCTCCCCTCCTCCCCCTCCTCCTTCTCCCCCTCCTCCTTCTCCCCCTCCTCCTCCTCCCCCCCTCCTCCCCCTCCTCCTCCTCCCCCTCCTCCTCCTCCTCTCTCTCCTCCTCCTCTTTGGCAGTTCTAGAGTTTGAACTCAGGCAGGCATTGTGCTAAGACACCTCCAGTCCTTTTTGCACTTGTTATTTTTGAGACAGACTCATACTTTCCTAGGCGTATGTCTGGGGACCTCAGTCCACCTGTTAAAGGCTTTCATTGTAACTGGGATGGCAGGCACACCTACCACGCCCAGCTTCTCAGTGAGATGGAGGCTCTCAGGCTTTCTGGCCCACGCTGGTGTAAAGCCATGATCCCTTCCACATTGTAGCGTCCTGTATAACTAGGTTTATAGGCATGAACCACTGGGTGCTAGCTGGGAGGGTTGGCATTGGGGATAAAACACAAGGCCTCTTCTTCCTAGACTGGTGCTCTTCCACTTGAGCCATACTCGAAGTCCCTAACGTCTTACACACATGGCAATAAAGTCTTTCCACACTTGGCTCATCCTCTCCAACTTGACTTCTTCCTTCCATCCCGACCGCCACGTGCACGAATCCCGGAGCTCTCACGTCCTGCACCTGTGTTGCTCCCTCCCCTCCTCTCCTTCCCTGTGGGGCTTTGCTCTGCACCCTGCCCTGCATTCCTTGCCTCGCAGTTCTATTGCTGTCCCTTGAGACACCAGTTTTGTCGGTGGCTCCCTAGTGTGTATCTCTAGCCAAGCCCCTGAGTCCCGAACTTTTCACACCTCAAGTTGCGTCTGAGCAGGATCATGCAATGTGATGATACAGGGTGAGAAGTACAGAAGTAGTCCATGTGTTTGCACGCAGTTTAAATAACTGGATCGCTGTGCTCATAACCCACGTGGGGCGAAAGAGGTGGGCTTCTGACCCACTTCCTCTCGTGTCCAAGTGCAGGGCTCTTCCTCCCATTCTCTTCCCTGTCTTATTCTCGCCACCTGGTTCGATTCATGCCACACTGAAAACACTTAGCAGATATTTATCAAATTGGTGTGACAATTAAACACTTAACAGAGAGCTCCTTTATAACGAACTCCGTAAGCAAGCAGTCTCGCCCCACACGACCCAGCGTCCCCTTGCGTCTCCCCGCCTTAGCAGTCTAGAGATGGGGCAGCAGACGTGTTAGTGTGTGGGCTGCAGGCCCTGCTGTGAGCCCTGGAGCCTGAGGGCTGGGGCAGCACAAGGATCTCGCGCAAGTGAGGAATAAATTTCAGAACTGGCCCAGACCCACAGGGCAGTGGAGTAGGAATCCCTAATCAGAAAGGAAAGCAGATAGCCTGGATGAGCTGTATCTGGCTTCACAAGGCCCTAGGTGCGATTCCAGCACCATAAAAGAAAAAAAGTACTGAGACTTAACCCAGGCTTATCTAATGTACTCTGTCTTTATTCTCAATCATTCCCATGTTTGTTTGATCTGTTACAGTGCTTAGACATGTACTAGATTTCAATTAGCTATATATGGCCCTTGCTGCTACATCCTCCTAACTCACTCTTGGTTTTAGCATTGCTCTGTATTCTTAGTGGTTGAGAAAAAAAATACTAACCATTCATGACCTTAACTTGATTCTGAAACCTTAATATGCTCAAGACCATATCTTCCTACTGGAAGGATTCACAAATGCTTAATCCTTAAGTGGTAATTCCCTTGATTAAGCGTTATCTTTGTTATTTTATCTCTCACAGTGATGACGATTAGCCACTCCTCTAGAAGCTGGCATCTTTAATACTCAAAGCATAATTGAACAAAGCCGGAGTGGCTTTGGCTTCCGACACCGGAGTCCTAGCCCAGCCATGTCTGGGCACCCTTGGTGGTCTTGCGACATTGAAAGGAGTCTTCTGGTTGGACAATGAATGGCATTAGCAGATTTGTGCTGACCTCTCTCTTTTTTACACTGCCAGTCTCCAGTGTCATCATTAGTTAGTCTTAGGTCTCCTATTTGTCTGCTAAGGAGCATCTCAGATAAGCCAAGTTAATAAATTAGAGCGGGTGATGCACTGGCCACTGGACCGGTCAGGGGGCAGCTGTCTCCTTTGATCCTGTGGAGTTTCATCCTAACAGCCGTGGTCAGGCAGCGTGGGAGTCCTGGCTGTGGGGGGCAGAGAGGACCGCCAAGCTCATTTGTGCTGGCTTCAGTTTCTCCCTGCACGGCCCTGAAGCTCAGAGCCTCCCCTTCCCCAAGGAGCTTTCCTGCTTCCCACAGTGAGTCCTCCCAGTGGGTGAGGATTCCAGCAAGCAAATGAGAGTCAGACTGGAACACTGGAACACCTGCAAAATTAGAGGCCTCTGAGCTCCAGAACAGGCCTCCGCCTCTGCTCTCCCGTCCCTGCTGTCCCGGCTGGTTCTCCTAAATCATAACCGCCCTTGGAAGCCTGCGTGCACGTGTCGAGCACCCTACAAAACGCTCTGTGCGCATCATCTCATTTAATTCTCTTGCTGTACCTGGGGTGGAGGTTCTCATTTTACAAATGAAAATGAAGCCCGGTTGATGGTAGGCAGGTCTTGATCCAAGCACAAACCTCCGGCCCCATAAAACAATGGACATCCCCTAAGCTTGCTCAACATGTCCAGGAGGAGAGAAAGAGAGAGGAGGCTTTGCTTTGCCACGGGGGAAACACGCTGAGACATAAGCTTTGCGTTAGCCGCAGAGATGTAACCTCGAGAATTCTCGCAGCTTCTGTCATATCCTGTGTCTGAGTTTCAGGCAGGGCCCATATTACTTGTGTTCATGAACAACGGTTTCACTGCAGCTAATGGAGTTTGAATGCAGATGAGAGTTCAGGAATCAAAAGGACTAACCATTTATAGCATGTGAGATTTTAACTTTTAAATATAGCAACATGTGTCTTCAGAGAGAGCTGGAAATCACGAGAAACGTCTGTCACCCTGAAAGTCCCTTTACATTTCTGAAATGCATTGCCTGCAGGTTTACAAATTCCTCCAGAATCTCTGTTTCTCTAGTTTGTGGACCAGGTGGCATGGTTTCCATGGGGTGGAAATCCTATGTGATTTCCGTCTTTCAGGCATTTCCAGCCATAGTCAGAGGGCAGCACGGATCACAACTGGGCTCTGGACTCTGAGAAATGAAGGCTTTCTTGCCGTGGCATTTTTGCAGACGGTCTGAACACAGAGAACACTGGGGAGACACCTGGGCCCGGGTTTACTCTCCCCTGTGATGGTGAACTCTGGGTTATTATGGACTCCATGTAGACAAGTTAGAACCATTCCATTTGAGGCAACCTGAGGATCAAAAAAGCAATGCTACAACTTCCATATAGCCTACCTGAATCCGACCACACAACATTACTTCACCTGTTAGTGAGGGAAGACCGGAAGGCAGAAGAGAGGGAGGGAAGCGTGAAGAGGAGCCTGTCCCCGTGTTAGAGACCAGGCCCGATGAAAATGTTCCCCTCCCTGAGGAGCCAACCCGAGTGCCTGGGAACGCTGTGTCTTCCTCAGTCTCTGTGTTTGGAATAAAGGGCCAGGTCCCTTCATTCCCTGGAAGTAGTCATTACTAGATTTGTTCATCTCTTTATTTTGGAGGAACCAAAAGGCAGAATACTTTGCCTGTCCTAAGTCAGAGATGTTTCTTGATCTCCATGAGGGAAGCCCATTCCTAAAGAGAGGTGTCCAATGTGCTAATTATCTCCCCCCTAGCGTTCAGGTAATCAGTGACTGACAAGGACTCTGCCCAGTTGATACCCAGTGCGTGCACAGTGCCTGGCACAGTGCAGGAGCTCAGCAAACCTGTTCTTGCACAAGTCTAACTCACGCTTCTCTTCGCAGCATGTGAGCAACAGATGGTGGTGGTGTGCAAGGAGTCTCCAAAGGAGTTCCTGCAGCCGTTCAAGAGCAGACTGGAAGAGTTCTTCCAGAAAGGTAAGCGTCTCCTCCGGCACCCCACCCTCCACGCCAAGGTTGCTGCCCCTTGTATCCTGGCTGACACAAGGATTGCCTCTTCCGTGGTGGTCACACCCCTGGTGTGGGTAGAGTTGTATAACGCCACCTCTCAACTCTGACTTGATCTGTTACATCCATTGATTTAGTGTACATTTGTGAAGGATGGACCTTTGGCCTCCCGCTGGGGCTCCCAGAGACCCCAGTGCATGTTAACTGACAAACGGCGTCTGTGGAAGGCCTGGGAATGCTGGCTGATCAGGGTTAGTGAACGTGCAGGTTTTAATGTATTTTAGTTTGTTTCTTCATTTCTCAAATTCAACTTGAGGTGGGAAAGAAAACCGGTGTGGGGCATTTGGAGGCAATTTTTTTTCTTTACTAGAAAGCCAGAGGAAAGGGATGTAGGAGTCTTTAGGGATATCTCTACATGCTGTTTCTATTACTGAGGAAGGCCACAGGATACCACACCATCAACAAGACTGTTCAGTGGGGTGAATCCACAAAGTATGGCCAAACCACTCTGGGAATTAGCAGGGCAATTCTCAGTCCATGAGTCAGAGGAGTTCTATCCCAGCTGCTGGCTTGCTACAGACCACTTTTTCCTCCTCCAAGAGCTGTTTACGTGGAAGAGGAAGTCAGAGCTCCGGCCATTGCTGAGCCCCTGTGTGGCGGGAGGAACACCAACCAGCTCAGTACCCTCCCAGGGCACAGTGGGAGCCGTGGGACTATAGCTCGGCAGGTGCTACACGAGGCTCATTTAAGTAAATGCATCACTCTGTGAGAACACCAGCAGATATAGCCTGAAAGCATGAAGTGCTTCTCTTTGCTAAGACTTAACTCATGGTGCCTCCTTCTGACCTCTGAAGCCCTTGTGCGCTTGGGTTCCATTTTCACGTTTAAGTGCTGCCGTTCTGTATCTGGAGAATGCTGCAGTGTGTGTGTGTGTGCGCGCCGGGGTGGTTCAGTCCTCTCGGTCCTGGCTGCTGATGAGGAATTCTCACCAGATAGGTTAGGAAGGGCGTTCCAGGACAGAGAGAAACTGCATGTCTCAGAAGAATAAAAGACGCGGGCAATGCCAGGGCATGATGCAGCCAGGACCTGGGGCTTACGGAAGAACCCGAGACCAAAAAGGAGAACTTGCTACAGGATCCGCTACAGGATCCGCTACAGGATCTGCACTGGACTGTGGACAACAGATAATACGTAAAAAGTCTGTATGGGACAGGCACGGCGAAGCTGGGCTTCTTGTTTAGCTGTGTGGGTTGTGGGGTGGGCTTCTTGCCTTTGGTTATTAAGATGATCATAGTTCACAATAACCTGAAGAGAACTGGGGTAACAGAGCTTGGGGGAAGCGGTAAGACACAAGAAAGGAAGGCACAGTGCATAACAAGACTGGGCTGTGTGGCTGGATCACAGGTATACGGCGAGGAAGGAGGAACCAACAGCTTCCTATTTTGCTGGGTAACTGGACAGATGTTAATAAGAAAGAGTTTGTGAGGGGCGGGGAGGCGAGGTCAACTTGGAGAGCGTTCGCTTTGATCCAGATGAGACCCGTAGGTCAAGGTGTTGGGCTCACAGAACAAAGCTGATGAGACTTCAGAAGCAGCCGTTTAGGTCATAGGAATGAGTGCTATGGTCCAAAGAAAGGGCATGGAACAAGAAGATTCTGGAGCCTCACAAGAGTGGAGCCCATGGAAAGGTATCTCTAGAGTGGAGCCTTTATAGAGTGTTTAACAAGAAAGCCAGCTTCCTGGGGGGAGGGGTCCCTCACTCACGGGGTCCTAGGCAATGGCGTGCGTTGAGCCGGAGGAGTCATTTGCACTGTGCTTTAGTTGACTCATGCTGAGAGCTGGCGGGTCAGTTTTTCTAGCAAATCACGGTGATCTGATTTTTCATTAGTAAATCACATCCTGTTGCCACACTCCGATGGAGACGATGTGCTTTTCCTTCAGGTCTCTTGCCATTCCCTTCTCAAAATGTCCTCACATAGTGATACCACCACGGAACTTATTCCCAACCGGTGGTCATTCCCTGTACAGAACCCAGCGTAAGGGTCGCGCACGGCCTGTCCAGCTGTGATCTCCGTGGCCTCTGAGCCCTTCCCCTTACAGCTCAGTTCTGAGCAACCTCGGGCAGCATTTGTTTTTCAGCTCAAGCTTTCCCACCCTGAGATCAAACATGTCCATAAGGATAGGGCCCTCAAATCTGATGCTCACATTAAAAGTCCCCATAAATGTGGCAGGGATCCTGTAATTGAAGGAAGGCGCGGTGCCAGTGATTGGGGGCAGGTTCGGGTCGTGTAGGTGGTCTTTCCGTGCTGTTAAGCTGGTCATTTGTGTTTATGGCTTTGGGAGGGAGGGCCGGAGCCCTGGCCGGCTCCAACGCCTCCCACACCTGGCCTCCCCCCGCTCCTGTGAACTTACTGAGGGCTAATTTATACATTGTACTTTATCCACGTATGGCGCCAAATGCAAGCATAAGCAGAAGAACCGTCTGGGCTCGCCGCCACTCCTTCCCGATCAGGGAGGAGCAATGGGCGTGCTGGGTTTGCGCTCCCTCCCTTCTCTCCCTCTTCTTTCTCTCCTGGTGCTGGAATTTGAACTCAGCGCCTTGCACTTGCTCCACGGACGTCCACTGCACAAGCCATGGCATCAGCTCTTCCTGCTAGGAGTTATTTTTTGCATAGGATCTTGTACTCTGCCTCCTACCTGTGTCTCCTGATAGCCAGGATTACACAGGAGCTGGAGCTGCTTTGCTGAGAGAGGGTCTCACTGACGTTTTGCCTGGGCTGTCCTCAAGCCACTATCTTCTTGATCACAGCCTCAGGAACAGAACGACAGGTATGAGCCACTGTGGTCTCAAAATGATTTAAATGGAAAAGCCTCTATTTTTATTATATTCCTTCCTTAAGCAATAAGTTTTTTCTGTACACATTAGAACTTTTTATTATGGTAACAGTACTTAGCATGAGATATTGTTAACTACAAGCACAATAATACTGTGTGTGTGTGTGTGTGTGTGTGTGTGTGTGTGTGTGTGTGTGTGTGGTGTGTGTGAAGTGTTCTGAGTGAAAAGGAGATATTGCTGTGCTTGGAAGCTATATCGAGCATGCGTGTGAGTATTTCATGTCTCTGAACCTTTGGGATGTTTTTCTTGGCCGTAAAATGGTAATGACGTATTATTACCCAAGTCTGTATGAACATTACACTGGAACAGCACACGCCAGCCCCCCGCGGAGTCCATGCAGTGACACGTTCAGAGCATCCTTGTCCCCTCCCCCTGGACAGTTTTCTGTTCAGATAGAGAGCCCAGCACCCCAGCAGACGGCACATAATGCTGGGTCTAAGTGATGGTAGTACTTGGAGACTGCCTTTGTTATTCCTAATTCCTCAAAGGAGGAAACTCAGTATGGTTGGTTCTGTGCCATCCTGGTAACTGTGAAAAGCACTCCTTTTCTCTATGTGCCAAGACCCTTTGTGGTTAAAAACAAGAACAGTTTAAGCCGGGCGCTGGTGGCTCATGCTTGCAATTCTAGGTACTCAGGAGGCTGAGATCTAAGGATCACGGTTCAAAGCCAGCCCATACAGGAAAGTCTGTGAGACTCTTTATCTCCAATAAAACCTCTCAGAAAACTGGAAATGGCTCAAGTGGTAGAGCACTAGCCTTGAGCTGAAGAGCTAAGGGATAATGCCCAGGCCCAGAGTTCAAGCCCCATGACCGACAATAAATAAAAGGTAGTGAGAAGGATTGGAGTATTGTGTTGAACCGGTCTGAGCTGTGCATCTTGGGCAGCTGTTCTCATGGCCCAGGCCCTGCTTCCTCCCTGGATTCCTAGTAGCTAGAGAAGTCCGTGTCAGTAACTTCGTGCAGTTGGGATCACATGGCTTCTCTCTGACTTGCTCCACCCTTGTCTTTTTTTGTAATGCAAAAGTAACATTTATACTTTGCAAAATGCTTATCCATATGTATGAATATGTGTGGATAATCATGGTGTAGTTGGTTTATTCCTTCAAATAATGCAGATCCGTTTCTTACGCAGTGTTCACCATGGTTTAAAGGAACTGTGGCAGCATTAATAGCAGCCCAGGACTGTGGAAAGTGTCTAACACAGGGCCTGGTACTGTAGCTCAGCCTGGCTGGTGCACGGTTCTAAGTCATTTCATTAAAGTCTTCTCAGATAGTTTGAGATGGGCTCAGGACATTCTCAGGTTTGCTTGCCCAATGGTTCTAGAGTAGCAATGCCAACTTCAGATACCAATAATTAATGACAGAAGCTAGTCTTGGGTACTAGAGGGTAATTCATGATTATCTCCTCTAACAGCCAAAGGAGCTGAGTATACCGCTTATATATCAGTTTTTCTGGGGACCAAAGCTTCTATTTTGTGTTAAGTTGTACTTCATCAAGAATACAATTGGAGCAAAATCAGGTAAGTGTAAGGAGCAGCACATACGCAAGGAGATGTTCTTTAGGATCTCATATCTCCCCATTAAGCTGTTATATTTTGAGGTATAATTATAGTTACTACAGGGTGTATCTTAGTGGAGATGTGCCTACTTCTATTCCATGGCTACCCAAGTCCAAAACACTACCACCTAGTGGCTGCAGGCCTGAACTGCATGCACTTGTGCCTTGGGAGCTGGTCCCTACCTTACCTCAATGGCTGAGGATCATGCTCGATGATCCTTGGCAGCTGCCATCTCCAAACTCTGCTTCTCAGCAAACTGGGAGAATAGGAATTTGTTATTCCCAAGTCTGAGAGGCGGACTGGAAGGGTGGGAAGCTGAGGCTGGAGCTGTGGTTGTTTCCGTCCTAACCCTTCTTTTTTATTTACTTGTTTTAAAATGTGTTTGTTCCCACACATTAGTGGTGAGTCCCACACTGCAATTCCAGATTTATCGTTCCACGTTCATAGATGCAGATGAAACACTTGGACAACCCTCTCCATTTGCGTGCCCGCCCCTGTTGATACCAGCAGATCTGG